CTATGCTGAAACCTTCGCCTTGCCGTTGTGGGTTCGAATCCCACCGAGACGCCGAGTTTTTCACAGTTGGGTCAATATAAATTCCCATTTGTCTCCACCTAACAAGTCCAAAAAGTCGGATGCCTATTGTCGTGAATAAGTATATTCTCGGACAGATATCTCAAAATGTATAGTTTCTATCTGCTCAACCGTCTGCATCAGGGTTGTCAAAGCAAAGTCATAATAGTGCGCTCATAAGTTCCTTATCACGAAGTCCATGAGCACATGTATAGGTTTTATTAAAAACTATTTTGGAAACTGTCTCAGCCAAATTAGTCTTATTTTACAACTCTGTAGTAATGGCCAAAGGAGGCTAAATAGCCCTTGGTCTGTTTTCGAACCTTGCGTTTTCCTGAATAACTGTGGAAAGTCAGAATATGACTGGAATTTTGGGAGCCAATTGCACATCGAACTTCCGTTGAAGCATTTTTCCCATTGGGAACCAGACTATTTGATATGTTGGATAGCGCGGATGAATTTCGAAAAATATCCCTTATATGCGACGTGAGTTTTCAGATTTTAATATACTGTTGTAAACAAATGTAGTGGTCCCCCAGCCCCTGGCTGGCAGAAGAAGTGTATTCGGGACAAAACTATTATAGGAGATAAGGCGCTGAGGTCAATTCCCCCAGGGTTTCAAGGATGTGGTACTCCTTCATCTCCACAAGCGGAAGTGGAACCAGCAACTCTGTGATAGCCGCAAAGGACCCTGCTAAAAATCACTGAGAAGACCTTCGCTGGCACACACCTCAACGGTAATCTGCAACAGGGACTTCTGCCGGAAACTCAGCGTGGCTTCCGACGCCACCGTAGAACCACCGACACAATCTTCGCCGTTAGCCACTTGCGACGACGACGTTGCTGTACGCTTCGAAAACTCAATCACATCCACCGTCGGATGCTAAAGCTGAAGTGGCACGACGGCATCTCAGACATAGAAGTTTTGGAACGAACTGGAATCTTCAGCATCCCGACAATACTGAAGTAACTGTAACTTGGACGGTGCGACCACCTCACGCGGATGAACGACACATGTTTACCAAAACAACTCTTCTATGGAGACGTACCTGCAGATGTTCGCCGACAAGGAGATCAAACCAGCCGCTACAAGAATTCCTTGAAGCGGCTGCAAATCAGTGCTTATACTCAGGAATACCTCGCACAGAACTGACCGGCCTGAACCAGAACAGTGAAGACTGAAATAATCATCCATGATGTCAAGCGGATCGCCACCGCCAAAGTTAAAAGGGATGTCAGCAAGTCTCGGGCACCCCAAATCCGTCACGCCAACATTCAACCCCTCCCTACGTACCCGGGCTGTCAACGAACATTCCGCGCACGGATAGGCCTCGTCGGCCGTCCGCAGACTCAATGCACCAGCCCGACAACCCCGACTGCTACCTCTCCGACCGCCCCTGCCCCGACTCCCACGGCGTCCACTACGACAACCCGCACCATCGATGCTCAGCACCCCCCCCGTGCACCGCTGCCGTCTATCACCGCCATCTCAATCATCCTTGCCACAACATCCACGATGACGACGACCACCACCACCGATCAAAACGCTCTCGACGACCCGCCAATTGCCACTGCCACCATTGCCACCCCCACCTCCAGCGATATGGACTCGGTCCCGGTCTATCCTCATTGCGATCGCACATCCACCTCACGAATTGGCCTAGTCAGTCACTTACGAATCCATCGCACTGCAACCGGCTCATCAGTGCCAGGGGCCCCCTTATACACTCGCCGCATCGGTCCTCACTGCCCATGTGCATTTATACATCGCATGAGTTTAGTCAGTCACATGTATATCCACAACAGCGGAATTCGCTGCAGTACCGACACACCTAATATTCCTTTCACATCTACCAAACCTCATGTCTCCATCCCAATCAACTCCCTATCCACCAACGCGTCCACCATTTACGGCATCACAACGGCAACCGACCCCAAATCCCCCAACCTATCTTTCCCATACTACCACTGAATGTCCACATCACGCATCGGCCTGGTCGTCCCCTGCACCTCTGGCGTAAGTGAAAAGTGCGCTTTTCGGCTCTTTTCTCCATGTGATTCTTTCGCTGCAAGTTAGATCTGAGCGTTCTATCCCCCTGTGCGTGAAGTCCCCGTGTGTGCGTGCAGGGGGCCAGGTCATGCCTGTGGCACGCGCAGACGAGCTCCCTAACTCTGTCAGCCACGACGCCCGGCATAAGACATCTGACCGACTCGGACAGTGGACTGATGCCTGCGAGTGGGAAGAGAGAGTGAGGTTTACGGTCCCAGCGCATATAAACAATCTCACGCACTTGAACCTAACACGGTACGCAAAAAGTCGCGGCTCGGAAGATTGCCGATTGACGTGACAACTTGGGCCTCGCGGTCAGCCCACCGTGTGTTTGTGTGGAGTGGCCGAATGGTAAACTGAAAGTCAGGCTACTATGACTCCTTTTTAATATGGCCCCTATGGCACTGCCACTCAGTGAGAACCGAGCGGGAGTGGCGATAAGTGCAAAGGTGTGGATTTTGCTGTGCCAGCCACCTTCGCCCTCTCTCAAATGCGGTCTTCGTGCCTCTGTCCCGAAGCCGGGCCCAGGTGGGGAAGGAAGAGAGAGTGCGACAAACGCTGTGCAAGTTTACCACCACTTTAAACTAATCCACGCGAACGTCACTGTCCTTGCTCTGACGCTGCTGTGGAGCCCACGGTGGAGAGTTCGACCTCGGTTTCGACTATGTCCACCATGTGATCCACAACAAGGCGGAGCAGAGAAGGTGACTTGCGCGCGAATTAGTTGGAAGTGATAGTGGAATTACGCTGCATCTACCACACTCTCTCCACTTCCCCACCTGGACCCGGTGTCGAGACAGAGTCAAGAAGACCGGAGGTGGGGGGAGGGCGCAAGTGGCTAGCACGGCCGGAGTCGCACCTAGGCGGACCACCACACTCCCTGGTTCACACAGCAAATGACCAGGATTTTGACCAACAACAACACCTCAACAGGGGCCAGAGCGACGAGGATGAATGGCCCACGGTGGACATTGTCGGCAACGACGTTCGAACTGTCGCGCGACTGGTGTGCGCTGAAGTTTCATGCGCACACTTGCCACTTGTGTGGCTATGGCAGCTTCACTTGTGGACTTTGCCTTAGATCTGAAAAGTGTCAGTTTATCTCTTATGAATTAATCGAGAACTTGGTACAAGTGCTTTGGAAAATGGCATTCAACCACCTGAACCTTGAATAATTGAAAGACTCGGTTCTCCGTCGCTACTAATTTCTATTATATGAGCCTACTTTCCTGAATCGATCTTATGAATAGCCCCCACTTGCTTCTCATTTTTCTGGCCTGGTGTGGCCACATAGGCAACCTGTATATTGGCTTTTAAACGGAATTTTTTGGAGGTGTAAATCTTAAGAGTTCTGTTATTCTGTCACTTTAAGCCTCGTTGGTGAGCTTGTTCATGTGAACGCCAGATCTCAGCTACCTGGTCATCTGTTAAGCGGATAATCGAGTTTAAGAGAAGGGAAATGCGGCTTATTTGTATCCAAAACATAGGTCATTCATTTGAACCCTCATGCCGCTGAAATGGGTCAGAAGTCAAAAACACAATGCTGAGAGACTAGACTCTCTGTTGGATAGGGAACAATGTATGCTTCCGGTTACACGTTCAGTCCAATTTACTGGTCTGTGCAACTCGTGCGGCCCTCAAAGTCACTCTGGTCCGAGGGTTATGAGACCCAGCGAACGTGGACACTTCGTGTGGACGTGTAACCGCAGAGGTCGACAACGTAGATATGAATATGTGATGGTGGGGACTTTATGCGCGGTTTCAGACAACTGAGTCAACCGCTCAGTCGAGTCGAAGGTCCTGGTCTCCTGTGGCCCGATTAAGCGGGATCCTCAGTACCTTCGTTCAGTTGTAACCCAGATCGCTA